CACTTACTCCCAACTGGAGAATGTATGTCCCATTTTGGGATCACTTATTCCTAACTGGTTAATGTATGTCCCAGTTTGGGATCACTTATTCCTAATTGGTTAATGTATGTTCTAGTTTGGGATCACTTATTCCTAATTGGGTAGTGTACATCCCAGTTTGGGATCACTTTATTCCTAATTGGGTAATGTATCTCCCAGTTTGGGATCATTTATTCCTAACTGGGTAATGTACATCCCAGTTTGGGATCATTTATTCCCAACTGGATAATGCATGTCCCTGTTTGGGACCAGAGATCCAGGCTCTGCTGCTGAGCCCTGCATGGCCAGATGAGCCCCTGCAGCATTGCCTGGACTCTCTTTTTCCTTTAAATAATCATCTTTTTTTTTTTCTATTTCCACCCTAAAGAATCTCAAAACAAAAGGACGGGGGGGGGGGGGAAAAAAACCACCCCTTTAACTCACTGCATGTGTGATTTGCAGTTTTCCCCCCATTTCCCTGCTCTTTCCTGGAGAACCCTCTGCTCTGTCACCCCCTTTGGTTTGTGCCATGATGGTTTTTTGTTGTTTGTTTGCAGTTGTAAACTGTACTGACCCCGGGCACCTGGAAAACAGCGTCCGGCAAGTGCAGCCCAGCGGGCCCCACAGATTCAGCTTTGGAACAACTGTGTCCTATCAGTGCAGCCATGGATATTACCTGTTGGGGACACACGTCCTCACCTGTCAGGGGGATGGCACTTGGGACCGTGCCCTCCCACAGTGTCTTTGTAAGTGCTCCAGAACAATCCCACCCACCCCGGGGCTGCAGCCTGCGGAGTTCCTTCTTGCTCAGCTCAGTGTAAAAACCTTGGGAATCCATGGGAATCCTTCTATCAGTAGGCTCCAGGTCCTGCCCGTGGAGGGGAAGGTGGTGGTGTGAGGAGAGAGATCCCTTTGGAGGTGGGTTCCCTCTGCAGGGGAAGGCAGAGCCCAGTGGGTTTTCCTGCTTCTGAGCAGCTCCAGCCAAACCAGGGCAGGGGGAGAAGGGTAAAAGCACCTCTGGAGCAAAAACCTGCCTGGGAAGGAAGGTGTGTCCCCACCCAGCTCACCTGGGTGGGGACACACCCCTGAGTGAGGTGACACCCCTGAGTGAGGTGACACCTGAGTGGGGACACACTCCCACTCATCCCCAGAGCTTTCGGGGAGGGAGATGACACCGAAGGAAATACAGAATAAATTCCTTCTGCTGCAGAGCAGGTGCTGAAAAGCATTTGCTTCCTCACCCTTGCTCTGGTTTTGTCCCTTTTTTTTTTTTTCCCCAGGATCCTGGCTCTTTCTGCCACCAGGGTTGGGATTGGGAGGTTCTGGGTGATGGTTTGTCTTTGTGGAAAGACACAGAATCCTCCCAGTGGTCTCGTGGAACACCCAGGCCAGGAGGTCTCTGTGGATTTTGGGAAGATGTCAGTGGTGATGTCCCCTTTCCTACCCTGGGAGAAATCAGGATCCAAAGTGTGTCTTAGTTGCCCAGTGAGCTGGTGGTGCAGGCAGGACCCACCCCCCAGCACAGCCAGTTTGTCCCTTTGGACACAAAACCAGCTGCAGTCCCATTCCCTGGATAAGGAATGGCCACGGAGCTCCTGGAATCTGAACTGGCTGAAGCTGTTCCAAAGCCATGGCTGATCCTTTTTTTTCCCCCTGTATTACCCCTCCACACCTGGCCATGCAAAGGAGTTTTGGGCACATTTTCCTTTCCTTCTGTGAGCAGCATGTCCCGTCCTCACCCTGCAGACCCTGCACAGGGGAATTGAGAAGTGACATCCCCTGCTACCACAGCTGGGGGGGCTCCAGGGGGGGATTTACCTGTTAAAAACCTGGAGCCTGATATCCCTCAGCTCCCAGCCTGCCAGCTGAGTGCCAGGGATCTCCTGCCTTAAAATGCTGAGCGTGACTTGGAGGATTTGTGGGTGTTCTCAAAGCTTTGGAAGCTCGGGTCGGTTTTACGACTGAACGTGTGGGTTTGTGGGGTTAAAAAAACCCAGAGATTTTTGCATGTCTTTGTTTTCTGTGCACTGAGCTTCTCTCTGAGGGCGCTGAGGCCCTGGCACAGGTCGCCCAGAGAAGCTGGAAGTGTCCCAGGCCAGGTTGGAGCAGCCTGGCCCGATGGAAGGTGTCCCTGCCCACGGCGGGGCTTGGAGTGAGATGGTCCTTGAGGTGCCTCCCAACCCAACCCCCGCTGTGGGGCTGAAGCTGTCGCCTGTGTCTCCTGCAGTGGTGTCCTGTGGCCACCCCGGGTCCCCTCCCCACGCCCAGATCTCGGGGGACAAGCACACCGTGGGCTCCGTGGTCCGGTACAGCTGCCTCGGGAAGCGGACGCTGGTCGGGAATTCCACGCGGATGTGCCAGCTGGACGGGCGCTGGAGCGGGGCCCTGCCCCACTGCTCAGGTGAGGGGCTGGCCAGGGAGGGCATGGGGCATTCCCAGCACAGAGCAGGGAAGACATTGAGCCATTGGAGAGTGTCCAAGGGAGGGCAACAAGGTTGGGAAGGGCCTGGGTTTGGAGCCGTGGGAGGACACTGAGGGCACTCGGTGTGTTCAGCTGGAGCAGAGGAGACTGAGGGGAGACCTCAGTGCAGTTCCAATTCCTGGGCAGGGGCAGAGGAGGGGCAGGGACTGAGCTCTGCTCTGGGGGGACCAGGGACAGCACCCAGGGAATGGCTGGAGCTGTGTCAGGGCAGGGTCAAGTTGGATCTCAGGGAAAGGTTCTTCCCCCAGAGGGTGGTTGGCACTGCCCAGGCTCCTCAGGGCAGTGGGCACAGCCCCAAGGCTGCCAGAGCTCCAGGAGGGTCTGGCTGATCCTCTGGGGCACAGGGGGTGACTCTTGGGGATGGGCCTGTGCAGGGCTGAAGGTTGGGCAGGATGGTCTTTGTGGGTCCCTTCCAATTCTGTGTTTCTGTGATCATCCTCCAGCCCTTTTACCCTGTGAGGGGGCACCTGAGGGGCTCTGAGCTGGAGAAGCCCTCATGGTACAGAGGGAGATTGTGTCTGAGCCACCCAGCCTCCTGCAACTTGGCTGATCAGCACTGGCAGGGAGTGAAGCTCTGGGCTGGCAGGAGGAGAAATAAATCCCTGCAGCACATGGCTGTGCTGGGAGGGAGCTGCAGCTGCTGCTCGGGAGTTCTCCCTGCAGAGCCCGGGCAGGAGGGACGTGTGGGACACAAAATTGGGTCCTTGCACCCTGTCTGCACCATCTGACCCTCTTCCCTGTGCTCTCCCATAAAAGGAGCTCTTTCCAGGGCCTGACATCTGCTGTTACAGCCCCACAGCAGCCCCAGGCCTGCACCAGGCAGGTGGAAGCTGCTACAATGAGTTTCCACATCATCAGCACCTCCACAGAGAGAGGTTTGGCAGTTTGGCAGCAGAAGTCCTTCCCCACTGCTGGGTGAGAAAGGTCTTGCCCTGAGAACATCCTAACACGCAGAAAAAGTCCCTGGTGCAACAGATTTGGGTCAAGATCCTGGGGGATGCAGTGAGATGTGCTGACAGGGGGGTCTGGTGGTCTCCAGCAGAGGGAAGGGTGCTGGCTGACTGGGTGGGGTGCTGTGCAAAGCCCTCCCCAAGCCATCCCATCCCTTGTTCCCTGGACAACACACGGGATGTGACACACTGAGCAAAGCACTCGGGACAAGTGTTAATTTTTAATAATGCCACTTAGATTTGGCAGCGCCACTTGACCAAGTTTAACCTCTGATTTGGGAGGGGAGGGGAAATTTAAGTGGAGTCATCCTGGTGTTCAGCAGCCATGTCTGCAGAGTTCCTGCTCTGGAGCTGCTCAGGAGGGTTTTCTGCTCCAGTTCGTGCCTTTTCCCCATGTAGTTCTTCCTCACTCTCTCCTGTCATCTCTGTGGGTGGATTTTTGGGAACACTCAGATTTGTTCTGCCTAGTTCCTACTGACACCTGCTGTGTTTGCTGAATGACTTTTTGGAGGCTGATGGCCCTGAGGGGGGTGCTGGGTGGATGCCCAGGATCCCAGAACCATCATTTCCACCCCAGGGCTTGGTGAAAGGCTCCTCCTTGCCACCAAACTCAGGTGGAGCAGTTAAAGAAGCAGGGAGGAGGCAGAGCAGAGCCCGGGTCTCCTGCCAAAGGCTGTGTGTGAAGGATCCCCACGGTGTGACAGCACTTTTTGCCAGATGAAACAAAAGACTTGGGCACGAGTCATTATGTGAAAGGAAATGTTGGACCTGGAGCATTCTGCCCCTTCTGTGCCCAGGGAAGTTCATTCCCCACATGATGAATGTGCTCATTATGTTCTGTGTCACACAGAGCAGGGGCTGGACCTGCAGCAAGAGGGCCCAGAACTGGGCACTTCATCACCAGCTGCCACAGGGAAATGGGCTCTCCTGCCCTGGGAGGGGATGTGTTCACACAGATTGGTGGTGGAGCAAGCCAGGAACACGGTGCAGGCAGCAGGGAGGTGGGCATCCCTCCAGCCTGCTCCAGGGAACCCCTGCCAGCTGCTCCCCAACTTCCAGCTCCGAGTGTTCCCAGCCTGCAGGAGTGGATGTTTCTCTCCCCCTGTGCTCCAAACCCAACAGCTCCTTGTTCTGTGAATACAGTGGGGTGTGCTGGGGGGGCTTGGAGCACACTGGAGTTCTTGCTTGGCGGGAAAGCAACCCCGGAATCACGGAATGTGACCCCAAGGATCATGGAGTCCAGCTGCAGGCCCTGCACAGGACTGTCCCCAGGAGTGCCTCAGAGTGTCCACATGATTGATGCTGGAGCAGCTGCCACCAGAAGCAGCTGCAGCTGGTGGAAGCTCCATCCTGGCATTCAGGAATCATGGCCATGGTTTGCAACAAGCTTCAAACCAGGAGTGGGGGGGTTTCCATCTGGAATTCCTGCAGCCAGTCAGAGTTAAATTCCTCTCAGAGGGGGGAAGAAGATCCAAACCCATCATGTGCTTGCTCTCTCTCCATGCAGGGGGCAGCCAGGGCGTGTGTGGTGACCCGGGGATCCCCTCCCATGGCATCGGGCTGGGGGACACCTTCGACGTGGGCAGCGTGGTTCGGTTCAGCTGCGAGCCCGGCTACACCCTGCGCGGCTCCTCCGACAGGACCTGCCAGGCCAATGGCTCCTGGAGCGGCACCCAGCCCGAGTGTGAAGGTACTGTCACCTCCCCAGCCCCCTGGGTGTCCCCAGAATCACCCCAGAATCACCTCGGCCCGGTCCCTCTGCCAGCGGCCGTTTGGTGCTGGAACAGCGTGGAACAGTGTGCCCAGGTGGCCAAGAAGGCCAATGGATCCTGGCCTGGCTCAGGAACAGTGTGGCCAACAGGTCCAGGGAAGTGATTCTGCCCCTGGACTCAGCACTGGTGAGGCCACCCCTGGAGTGCTGTGTCCAGTTCTGGGCCCTCAGCTCAGGAAGGACATTGAGGGGCTGGAGCAGGTGCAGAGGAGAGCAACGAGGCTGGGGAAGGGACTGGAGCACAATTCCCATGAGGAGAGGCTGAGGGAGCTGGGGCTGTTCAGCCTGGAGAAGAGGAGGCTCAGGGGAGACCTCCTCACTCTCTACAACTCCCTGACAGGAGGGGGGAGCCAGGGGGGGTTGGTCTCTTTTCCCAGGCAACCATCAGCAAGACAAGAGGACTCGGTCTTCAGCTGTGCCAGGGGAGGTTTAGGTTGGAGATTAGAAAGAATTTCTTTCCAGAGAGGGTGCTCAGCCAGGGAAGTGGTGGATTCTCCATCCCTGGAGTTTTTTAAGATAAGACTGGATGTGGCATCAGTGCCATGGTCTGGGAACCACAGCGGGGTTGAATCAAGGGTTGGACTTGATGATTTTGGAAGTCCCTTCCAACCCAGCTGATTCTGTGATTCTGTGATTCTATGAAATCAGATTCTCCTGCTTGTCACCTCCTCCAAACACTGAGGAGGAAATGTGAGCCCAGGAGCCTCCTCCTCCTGGGTTCTCCTCCTCCTTCCAGCCATCCATGGGTCACACCCCACAGGAGGGTTTTTGGAGCATGACTTCTCTGCAGGCTCAGCTGGGTTCTGCTGCACAGGGAATGTGTGAAGGGGTTTGGGATGCTCACGTCAGTGCCAACATCTGGGTAGAGGTGTAGGGCAGGAAGAGCCTTTGGGATCTGGTCCTTATTTCCTGCCATCCCCACCCCCAGACCGTTGTTCAGGAATCACTGGGGTCCCCTGGTCTTCCTGATCAGAAACAGCCTTTTTTTAGTGTCAGAGCTCTGGGTGCCACTAATTCCTTGTTACCTTGTGGGGGAAATTCAGCAGAGTGAGAAACACCAGCAGATTCCACCCTCCCTGAGCTGGAACTGGCACATGCAGGAGTCATTTCCATTAAGCAGAAATGCAAAATGCAAATTATAATCCAGTAAGCACATTTTTTTGTGTTTTGAAAACCCCAAACCCCCTGATTTTTCCATTTGAGGGAATCACGTAAGACCCTATAATCCAATAAATAATCCCCTCACTGGATTCTCTGGGCTGTGCTGCTCCCTGCTACTGTTTTAGACAAGTGTTTAAAAACCAGCTGGGGTAAGAACAAAAGCCAAAAATGAGGCAGGAGACCAAGTGCAAGGAGACCTGGGCAAGTGCTTCTCTCCAGCTGTTTCAAAAGCCAAAAGCTTAGAGAGAGTTTGTAAATGAATTGGAAATTTATTCCAAATTGATGGTGCTCTTGATTGAAAAGACACTGAATCATGTTATTAATACACTCAGATCTCAGGAGGTTGGTTTTTTTTCCACTCTCTGTTTTTTTCCATCAGTGGGAAGGCTCCATTCATTAATCTCAGGATAAATAACCCATCAGGTTCCAGAGGCACCAAAATCCAGATCCCTGGCAGATTTTTTTTCTATACTTTATGAATAATAATAACATTATGCCTATAATGTAGTCACTTAATGTTAAGTGCTGACTGGCCAGTGTAGGAGAGGGATGCCCAGGGATGAGCTGGTCCCTGTCATTTGTATTCACCACAAGTCCCAAGTTCTCTGGCTGCACTTTGAGTGGTGTGTTCAGCCCTCTGGAACAGGTATTTATAGGAGAGGGAGAGGGGAGTTGACTTTGGGGTGAATTCCTGGCAGTTGGAGGTGAAGGCTGAGTGCCCAGGAGGGTCCTTGGGAGGAATGGGCACCTCGGTGGTGCATTCACTGGGACTCAGCTGTGGGTTTGCTGCTCCCAGCTCCCAAAATGGAGCAAAATCAAGGCTGATGGTGCTTCACGGGTCACCAGGGAGTTCATGGAAGTTGCTCCCCAGATCAGCTGCTGGGTGGGCACAGAGAGGCTCAGCCCGAGCAGCAGGAGATGGGCACCCACAGCACAGGGATGTGGAAGTGCCTGTGGGCACAGTGCAAATCCAACAGCAGGGAGGAAGGGAGAGAAAGGCCCTTATCTCCATTTCAGAGAGGGTAAGATGCTCTAACAGCTTCAATTCCAAAGCACCTGCCTGACTTAGGGATCAGGGAGCTGATGTGGCACCATCGTGTCCTCCTGCACTGGGACCAGTCCAGGGTGTGTGGGGTCACCTTGGAACTCCTCAGCTCTGGATCTCGTACCTTTTACCCACTAAAACATCTTCTAAGGGAACCAAAGGAACAGGGAGGCAGGAAGAAGTCCCAACTGCTTTTCCCAGAATGGACAAATAGTTTGGAGTGAAGAGATGAGTTGCAGGGGCTCTGCCTGAGCCTCCTGCTTCGCCCGGGTTTATGGAACTCTGCTTTTGTTGTGCTCAGTAAGAGCAGCTTTCCAAAGTGGCAGATTTCAGGCCTCATTTAGCTTTAATTTCCAGCAAATTTTAAAGTGTAAATGTAATTTTAGATGGGGGGTTTTTTTTCTTCCTTTTTCCTCCTTCCTGATGCCCTGTCTGTGTTCGCCGAGGAGGGATGCAGGAAGGGGCTCACAGTTGTACTCTACACTCCCTCCTCCTCTTAAAAGCTGAGCAGAATATTTGCTTTTATAGTGTTTGTTGTTTCTCCGAGGGAATTAAAGCTGCATCCAAAATGAGTCAGGGCTCTGGCTGCTCTTTGGCAGTTTCAGTAGAGAGAAATGATTTATTTTAAGTGATAACAGTGGGAAAAGGAGCAGAGTTTTGTCTGCTGCTCATTTGACTGCTGAGGACATGGGAGGTGGCAGGGCTGGGATTCGGGTCTAGACTGTTTTATTCTTCCTCTCTCTGCATAGTTGGGTGGGTTATGGGTTACTGGTTAAATTAAACAGCCTGGAAATTACCAGCCCTGAAGGAAAGGCTTTGAGACTCCACAAGCCCTGAGCTGTCCCTTCTTCCAGCAGGAGGTCCTGCTGATGTGTCAGACATCATTAGGAGAGTGTTTGGGATGGGAGCAGAGCCTGAAAGAAGAACTGGGGGTTATGAGGAGCAGCTCAGAGGAGGGGGGACATGCAAAGGACACGGGGCTCACATGTCACCTCAGTGACAGGAACCACTGGCACCTCGTGCCTGAGAGCAGGGCTGGCTGCTCCTCACACCCCTCTCACCCTGTCCACGGGGGTTTTCTGGGCAGAGTGAGGGGAAATTAAATGTTTCATGAGTACCAGCACTTGCTCCTTGCCCTGCTCAGGGTGCTGGGGGGGGGGCAGCTCAGTGGCCTCGTCTGAGCATTGTCTGAACGTGCCCGATCAGGACCCAGAGAAATTCCCTTCTCCCAGGAAACAGCAAAGGAAGGCAAGGGGAAACCTGAAAGCTTTTCAGAAAATGGATGTGTGTGGATTGGAACCCGATTAATTATTGCTGAGCTCTGGAGCACCTCTGAGCTGGGATGTTTTCTATAGCAGAGGCACTTTGTAAGAGGCAGGAGCTTCCCAGATTCCCCCTGCAGGGATGGGATCGTGGGGATCAGCTCTGGTTGTTGTCAGGGGTCCCACTGTCCCTGTTTGCAGGCCCCCCCAGTGGCCTCAGAAACCATTTTTTTTTGGTGTTCCTAATTCATTTTACACCTCCCACTGCAGCCAGAGGGAATTATTTACCCCCTTACTGCTCTCTTCCATGATTAGATCCTACTGATATTTAAATTGCTATTTCAGACATTCAATCCTTTCATCCTTATATTTATGACTTCTCTTGTGTCTGGCCCATGCAGGTCCCAGCTGATCCACACTTCCATTAAACCATTCCCACGAGTCCCCTCCTAGTCCCAGAAGTAATAATTTGGGGGTCGTCCGTGTGTGTTTTTGACCACATGAATAAGTGGAGGAGGGTGGGCAGGAGGGAACTGATGGATGGGCAGGCAGTGAAATGGTAATTCAGAGCTTTTTTCCGAGGTGATGGAATCTGACTTTTATCCCAGCATCTCTTGGAAATGACACCGGAATCCGTAACGAGCTCCACCTCGGGAGCCACGATGAGTTGTGTGCACACAGCCCAGAGCAGTTATTAGTTTCCTCCTGTCAGACAGATCTGCCTCCAAGCAGCTCCTGTGTTAACAGGCTGTCAGCAAACCAAGCAACAAGAGGGGAAGAAGGCTCCTCTCCTCCTCGCCTTGGTGGGCTGTGCTCGTGGCTTTCCTGCTGGAGTTTGTGCTTCCCCAGTTGTGGAGAACAACTGGAAAAACTGGGGTGTGTGGTGCAGGGAGGGCCCAGGATGGGTCACCGTAGGTCCCTGCTCTCACACAGGTTTTGGGGTGTTGCTGGGGAAGGGGGCAGCCAGGAGTGTTCTGCCTTTCCTTGATTCCTGTGATTTTCTTTTGGGTGCTGTAATTTTGGAGTCAATGAGAGGCTGGGGGCAATTACTGCAGGTGCTTATTTTGTCCTGGCAGGGCTCTGTGCTCCACCATCCCCAGGCCTTTTTGTTCCTGGGGTGCTGAGGCACTTCAGGCATAAAACTTGGGCACTGACAACCCTGTAATTGTATTCCCAGGATATTCTCCCTCCTCTGAAGGGATAATTGGCTATGGCTGGGCAGTGAGCAGTGCCACAGTGGGAGGGCAGCAGGCTCCCTTACTGCTCTCCTTCCTTTCAATGCTGCACAGTTGTTGACATCCCAACATTAGGACTTGGCCTCTGATCCTTGTGGGTCCCTTCCAACTCAGGATATTTTAGGATCCCAAAGGCAAAAGCGACACACTCAGCTCCAGGCTCCCAAACTCCTCGAATGTGGAGAGACTCCAGGCTTGGCACCACTGCTTTGTTAAGCTGTAGGACCATGAGGTTGATTATTGCAGGATAAAACCCTGCAGTAAATGGACACGAGTCCATCAGGCAGAGGGGATTCTCCCAGGATCTGCCTGGGAGAGGAACAGGGCTGGAGCTTCAGGGCCTGAGCGGATGCAGGGACAGAGTGTTTTCCAGTCCCCTGAGAGAGATGCAGATCCTTGGCAAGGCAGAGCCTTGCTCTGAGCTGGGGAGTGGTTTGGGGATCCTGTTGGATTGATGCAGCTGCTTGTCCATGGAACAGCCCCTTCCCTCTGAGCTGATCCAGCAGCTCTGCAGCACATCTTACTTTTACTGAGAACAGTTCACTGCAGGGGGAAAGCCTCGTTTTTTGGAGGGGTCGTTTGTGTTTTGTGGTGTTTGTTGGTTTTTTTTTTTTAACTTTGCCATTTTGCTTTCCAGTGATATCCTGTGGGAACCCAGGAACCCCCAGCAATGCCAGGGTCATCTTCAACGATGGTCTGGTCTTCTCCAGTTCCATCATTTACCAGTGCAGGGAGGGCTATTACTCCACAGGGGTGCTGAGCAGGCACTGCACCGTGAACGGGACGTGGACTGGGACCAGTCCAGAGTGCACAGGTGAGCACTGGGATAGATCCCTGGGGGATGAGGGCCCTGGGGACGGGGTGTCTGGGCTCATTGTACCGTGTGTCACCCTGAGAAACTGCGCTGAGCTGTGTCCTGGCAGCAGCAGAGGCTCAGCCCGTGCTCTCTGTCAGTGCCTAATGGAAAAGTCTTGCTTGGAGTTTGTTTTCTTCCAGTTGGATGAAGGGAGCCCTGTAATAATTCCGTGAGTAGATGTTGGCCACCCTCAAGGGGCTCTCTGGGGCTGCTCCTGAACGTGAGAGTTCCTGGGAGGAGCCTGAGCAGAGCCCCTGCTCAGAAAAGCCTCGGGGAAGGGGTTGTGTTTCCTGCAGAGGAACGTGGACAGGGCCAAATGTGGCCTTACATAAGAGGCAGTAACTGGGCTGAAGAGGGGGGGACCTGCCTTCCCCCAGCCAGGACCTGACCTGGGTTTGCTTTAATGTTTAATGTGTGTTAATACAGCTTCTTGCAAGGTCTTAATGTGCCATTAAGGTCCCTGCTCACTCCACTGAAGACAGGCACAGCCAGCACATGAGCCAGTGTGCGCCCAGGTGGCCAAGAGGGCCAATGGATCCTGGCCTGGCTCAGGAACAGTGTGGCCAACAGGTCCAGGGAAGTGATTCTGCCCCTGGACTCAGCACTGGTGAGGCCACCCCTGGAGTGCTGTGTCCAGTTCTGGGCCCCTCAGCTCAGGAAGGACATTGAGGGGCTGGAGCAGGTGCAGAGGAGAGCAACGAGGCTGGGGAAGGGACTGGAGCACAAGTGCTGTGAGGAGAGGCTGAGGGAGCTGGGGCTGTTCAGCCTGGAGAAGAGGAGGCTCAGGGGAGACCTCCCTCCCTCTGACAGGAGGGGGGAGCCGGGGGGGGATTGGTCTCTTTTCCCAGGCAACCATCAGCAAGACAAGAGGGCTGGGTCTGAAGCTGTGCCAGGGGAGGTTTAGGTTGGAGATTAGGAAGAATTTCTTTGCAGAGAGGGTGCTCAGCCATTGGAATGGGCTGCCCAGGGAAGTGGGGGATTCTCCATCCCTGGTGGTTTTTAAGATGGGACTGGATGTGGCATCAGTGCCATGGGCTGGGAACCAGGGTGGGGTTGGATCAAGGGTTGGACTGGATGATCTCAGAGGTCTCTTCCAGCCCAGCTGATTCTGTGATTCTCTGATTCCATGATTCTCCACGTGCCGGAGCCTGGCCCACTCCGTGTGCCGTGTGCTCCAAACCCTCCCTTGCCCACGGCCCTCTGACCACATCCTGCCTGCCCAAAGCACTCAGGACCATCAGGTCTCTCGCTCAGGCAAATCCAGAGGTGTGAGAGGAGGGCTGGGCAGCCAGAAATGCTCCTCCCCTTGCCTTTGGCAGTGATCAACTGCGGCGACCCCGGCGTGCCGGCCAACGGCGTCCGCCTGGGCTCCGACTTCACCTACAACCAGTCCGTGGTGTTCCAGTGCACCCCTGGCTACATGATGGAGTCAGACAGGGCCTCCTCCCTCACCTGCACCAAGGACCGCACCTGGAACGGCACCAAACCCGCCTGCAAGGGTAAGGAGGGGTCCCCAGGCCACCAAAGTTTTTGGGACGAGGTAAAAAGTAGCGGCAACTTCTGCGTCGTGCCTGGAGCCCCCCTGGGTGTTTCTCTTAGCTCTGTCGTTCCATCTCTCCCCTGTTTATGGCTCTTACACCATCTATCACATTTTACAGCACGAAAACCTTGCTCTCTTTAAGTCCATCAATCACCACACTGTGCCTGGGAGGGAGGCAGCTGCTCTTACCTGAGTGGTAGAGAGGGAAGAGCGAAGCCCAGGGAGCAAAGTGACTCCTTCCTCTTCACGAAAACTCAGATCAAACTCCACTGAAATATTGTGTTTTGCAAGCACACGCTTCTTGGCATCATCTGGAATCATCTGAAAAATGTTTCCTCTGAGCCTTTTCATTATTCCTCTGTTCTGAGATTGCTCCTGTGGTTCAGAGATAGAAAAAGGAAATAATAAAGCAGTTGCTGGGCAGGCTGGATCTCTTCTGTGAGTGTTTTACTCACCCACCAAGTGCAGATAAGACTTGTAGCAGCATCTGTGCACTTCTTTAGCAATCTGGAAAATTCACTTGTCATCATGCTGATACAAATACAGACCACAGAGGAACTTTATAATGCACTGCAGCTCCTTCAGAGGCTGTAAAGAGCAATTCTTACGCTGCTCTTTCATTCTCTGCACTGAGCTAATGCCGCAGGAATAATCCAGAATGTGGCCAAGAGTCATGTTTGGAGGCCGGGCTGATTTGCACAGGTTTAGCATCTTTCTCAATGCTCCCCTGAGCTGAAAAGCAAAGCACTGCAAAAATGTCTTATTAAAACACCCCAGAGTGGATGAAATACCGACAGGTTGTTGCTTTAGCTGCTGATCTGAAGCTCAGCCAGGTTGTCCAAAACGTATCAATCTCCCAGGGAATCCGAGATGAGTTTTCATGCCAAGTCAGGGCATGTTCTTCCCTTCAGCTGGAAATGAAGTGACTCTGATTTGGAGAGAGATCAGGGAAAATGGTTCTTCCCCCAGAGGGTGGTTGGGCACTGCCCAGGCTCCCCAGGGCAGTGGGCACAGCCCCAAAGCTGCCAGAGCTCCAGGAGGGTTTGGATGATCCTCTGAGGGACAGGGTGGGATTGTTGAGGGGTGTCTGTGCAGGGCCAGGGGTGGGACTGGTGATGCTTGGGGGTCAGCATTTTCTATGGTTTGGTTAACTCCAAACTTCAAAGTAAAATCCTGGAGTTTTCACCCCAGTCTGTGCCATGTATATACTTCCCCTTTTCCGCTGTAGAAGCCTCTTGCCTGAAACTTGAGATAAAATTATGGGAAAGGGTGGGGGAAGCCTGGAAATTAGACTTTAGATTTTTGTGGTGGCTCAAACCAGCACACCAGGAGATGCCCTTGGAGGGCAGGACGTGGCTTTGGCCCTACGTGACCGTGCCCTTCGTGGAGAAGCAACGGGAGCTGAGCCTGCTTTTGTCTTTTGTCTCCCCCCACAGCCATCACCTGCAGAGCCCCCCAGGCCATTCCCAACGGGAAGGTGGTGGGCACAGATTTCAGCTGGGGGTCCAGCGTGAGCTATGCCTGCCTGGAGGGGTACCAGCTGTCCCTGCCCGCCGTGCTGACCTGCGAGGGCAACGGCACCTGGAGCGGGGACGTCCCCCAGTGCTTCCGTGAGTAGGAGCCCAGCCAGGGACTGGGAGGATCCTGCCCCAAAACCCGCTGGTTTGATGCCCTTTCCATCACCTCTGCTCCCATTGTGGCTGGGTTTAGTGGCTGGGTTTAATGGTTGGTTTTAGTGGCTGGTTTCAGTGGCTGGTGTCAGTGGCCCTGCTGTGCCTCCTGCCCCAAGCCCAGGGGAAGTGGGGCATGAACTGAAGCCAGTGGGGTTTTTTCGTGCTGTGATGATGCCTGAAGTGCCTCTGCCTCAAGGTCTGAACGCTCTGCCCACCTCCCACAGCAGCCAGGTTGCTGGGGGCACTGGTTTGCCACCTGTAAGGGGGTGGCCCTGGAGACACGGTTGGTCACCTCTGCAACACTTGGAACAAACCTGAGGATTTTCCTCCAAACTGGATGTTTGTCCAGTGTCTCCCCAGTGGCTGGATCTGCTGCAGTCAGGGCTCCTGGAACTGCCAAAGGCCGTGGGGAAAAAGCCTTTGGCCAAGAGCTCTGTGTGGCAGCAGGAGTTGGGAATGTTTTGTGAGGGCAGAGTGGGGCTGGGTGGAAACCTGTGTGCCTGATACAGTAGCTGATGCCAAAAAATAAGAGTTCAATATCTCCTAATGCCAAAGGCAGCTCTGAGTTCCTTTTCCAGTGGCTGGCAGCTGCACAATAGCCATTTTCATATTAAATCACACGAAGCCCTCCCCCTGTTCCTTGCACCTTTCCCTGGATCCTGGATAATTAGTGTGACACAGAACCAGGTAGCAAAGTGACATGGTGCAATTAGGGAGACATTGGGAAGCCAAGCCTGCTGTTAGAGGGGAAAAAGAGAGGAAAAAGGGAAAAGATGGGGGAGAAGGTGCAAGTTAATTACCAGGATTACAAGGAGAGCAGCCAGTCACGAAGTTGGTGGCAGGGTTTGGGCCGTTCGCAGACCTCTCTTCAGCTTTATTAACACTCCTTTCTCCTGAAGAGGTTCATGGCCATCCTGTTGTCCCTTTGCCCGTTCCAGCTGTGTTCTGTGGTGACCCAGGGACCCCAGCCCAGGGCAGGAGGGAGGACAGAGGCTTCACCTACCGCTCCTCCGTGTCCTTCTCCTGCCTGGCCCCGCTCGTGCTGGTGGGCTCAGCCCGGAGGTTCTGCCAGTCTGACGGGACGTGGAGTGGGACCCAGCCCAGCTGCATAGGTAAGGGAAGAGCTCTGGGCCCTCACCCAGCTTCCCTGTTGGTTTTCTCTTGCTTCTTTTCTTTTTGGTTTTCTTTTCTGAGTTTGCAGGAATGAGCGTTTTGTTGCCCCGAAAGTGGGGACGTGAAGGGACGATGCTTTTGGTTTGTGGGCACTGGGTGATAAACAACCCATCTCCTCCTCCTCCCTGCTTAGATTCCCATCCCTGGCAGTGTCCAAGGCCAGGCTGGAGCAACCTGGTCTAGTGGAAGGTGTCCCTGCCCAAGACAGGGGGCTGGAACTGGATGATTTTTAAGCTCTCTCCCAACCCAAACCTTCCTGGGGCTCAGTGTGTGGACAGAAACCAAACTCCCCCAGCTTGCCTTGCTGAGCTGCAGCCTTGGGATTCAGGGTGACGTTTCTACACCTTCCTCAGGTGCTCATCTTGAACCCTGTGACACCTCTGGTGTCACAGAACTACTCCCAGCATTCTTGGCCTGTTTGAAGCCCTGGCTGCACTCCTGAACTGCAGGGCTCCTGTGATAAAGGGCATCACCACCATCCCCCCACGTGGGCAATGGGGAGAAACACATCCATGGGGCTGTTCCCCATGGATTTCAGTCCTTCTGGTTCCATCCTAAATGCACCACCAACTACAGGAATGCAGAAAGAGTCGTGGCCTGAACCTCCAGTTGGTTTTACCAGGAGCTTTCTCACATCCAGGGGGTTGAGAGCACCTGCTCCTGTGCTGGAAATGTTGGATTGGAATGCTTCAGTGCTTCCCTGCAGATCCTTGTCTGGGATCCTGTTGTACACATGTGGGACCCACCTCTCAGAGGGCTGAACCAGCCAACCCTGTTCCTGCTGCCGAGGGAAGGTGCTGAGGGTCTGTCTGCCCAAAGCAAACCACGAGGAAGGAGATTGGATATTAGGGAAAATTTCTTCATGGGAAGGGTTGCCAAGCCCTGGAACTGCCTTGGGGAAGGGGGGGAATTAAAACCCATATAGGTGTGGCATTTGGGGACTTGGTTTAATGCCAGTGCTGGGGGAATGGTTGGACTCAATGATCTTCAAGGTCTTTTCCAACCTTAATGGTTTATTGATCCTGTGGAAGGAAAAGAATTGTGTGTCTGCAAAACCTCACCCCAGGATGGCAGTTTGTGACCCAAGCAGCTGCACCCCAAGTGCTGTATTTATTCAGATCTCACCCATTTTTGGATGCTTCGAACTTCCAGCACCCAGACCTTGCCCAGGCACAGCCAGGAGGCCGAGGCTCTGCCCTCATCCATCACCCTGTGCCTCCCTCATCCGTGGGGCTCTTTCTTTCTTTATTTTCCAGGCAGTGATTTATCAGGGGGCTCCCATGGAAACTGCAGCAGTGACAAATGACAGCAGCTTCAGCAGAGCCAAAGGATGGGAGATGAATTAGCCCCAAATCAGCCACGTTCTGTGGCACTTGTTTAGTCACTCACCACATCTCCAGGGCCTGGAGACAGCGCCGTGTCCGTGGGAAGGGACTGATGAGTCACATCCTGAGGAATAAAGGCCTAAAAATAAACAGTGGAAGCAGAGAAGTTGTGCTCTGCTCTCCTCTGGCTGCAGGCTGGGGGCAGCCACTCCTGCCCCACTGTTGGCTTTGGGGGGACTTAGTTTATTCCTTGCCTTCCACAGTCCTGTTAATGGGGATATTTTGAGAGGTGTTGGCTGTGGAGCTTGTGGTGAGTGAGTGGAAGAAGGAAGGCTGGGAATCCTGGGATGCTCCAGCTCCCTGCTCCCCCAGCCAGGCCCTGGAGCATCCCAGCACTGCAGCTGAGCAGAGGCACAGCAGGGTGTGTGTGCAGAGCTCTGGGGTGGCCCCTCCTCTGAACCCTCTCCCTGTTTTTGCAGACCCCAGCCTCACCACGTGTGCGGACCCCGGCGTGCCTCTCTTTGGGATGCAGAACAATTCCCAGGGATACCAGGTACTGCCAGGGCAGTGGGATCCCCAAAACCTGCCGTGCTCAGCCCGTGCCTGAGCCCTGGCACAGATCTGTGAGTCCTCCTGGGATGGTGTGATCCCAGTGTCAGACCTCAGGCTGTGTTTGTGCAGGATTAACCAGCAGTGCATTGTACATGATATTAATTGCAGTGCTAATTAGTAGTTATTGGTGTAATTACTCCTCACATTTCCATTAATTTTCAGTCCAAATTCTGTAGGTGTTTCCCTTTATCTCAGCTCCCATACAGCAGGAAATCTGTGGAATGGAGGGAGAAAACCCAGAGGGATGCCCTGAGGTGCTCCCTCTCCTGCTGTCCCTGTGGGTGCCCATTCCCTGTTGGGAGAGTGGATTCCATGTGGTTACCCCGTGCCAAGTGGATCCTGCAGTTTTGCTGCTAATTAGTTATCTTAATCCTGGGGGTTAATGAACTAATTTTAGGTTTTAATTAATACTGAGACACTACAAGTCTGACTTTTGTCTGAGCTGGCAGTCGGGAGCTGGCACTGGAGTGGAGCTGCCTCTGGAGCTCCTGTGGGGGCTGAGGCAGAGTGTGACAGGGAAATGCTCCTTAAAGGGGCTCCAGGAGAGCTGGAGAGGGACTTGGGACAAGGGCCTGGAGCGACAGGACGAGGGGGGAACGGCAAACATGGAAAATTCTAGAAGCTCCTTTTTATCCCAGCGTGGCACTGGGGGAGTTCAGTGTTTCCCTGCCCTTGGAACAGGTGGGAAGCATCATCTTTTTCAAGTGCCAGAAGGGGTACCTGCTGCAGGGCTCCACCACCAGGACCTGCCTCCCCAACCTGACATGGAGCGGCGTCCAGCCCGACTGTGTCCGTAAGTCCTGGGAATGGCACAGGGAATTGGAGCCTGGAGCCAGGCTGGGGTTGTTACTGGCTCAGGAGAGCTGGGAATTCGAGAGGGAGCTGTGAGAAAACACATTCTTGGAGGAAATATATTAGATTTTAGGAAGGTTGGGAGATGAGGAAGAAATTCTCCCCTGTGAGGGTGGGGAGGGCCTGGCACAGGGTGCCCAGAGAAGCTGTGGCTGCCCCATCCCTGGAAGTCTCCAAGGCCAGCTTGGAGCAACCTGGGATAGTGGAAGGTGTCTCTGGGGGTGGAACTGGATGATTTTTAAGCTCCTTTCCAACCCAAACCCCTCTGAGACTCTCCAACACTCTTTGATAAAAGGGAGCTCACTCCATCCCTTCTCTCCTGGCATTGCACCAGCAGCCACTTGTGATTTCAGATGAGATTTTCATTGCCTGTCCCTTCCTCAGAGACACAGTTGTCAGGTGAAATGTTGTTTTGTGCTCCTGAAAGCCCATTTGGTGGCAGAGCTGTGAGCTGGCCCCAGGGAGCAGGTTAACATTTAGCCAGGAGGGCTCTCCAGCAGAGCAGAGCTTCTCCTCCTCCTCTTTGGGAACGTGCTGCTCTCCCCTTTAAGCTGTCCATCATCTCCCTGCTGCAGCAGAAGGAGCTTATTTTAATGTGTTTAAGTGGTGATACCCATCCTGGCCTCTGGGTCATGAGTATTAAAGAGCTTTTTCCTCTCCCTCGTGAGGTGGTTTACTGGGGAGATATTTTTCCACTAACAAGCCCTGTGGATGCTTGTTCTGTGAACAGAACAACTGGGACACCCAGCTTTAAATGCTCTGACATGTGGCATCAGGGGACAGGGGTGGTTGCTCTGGAAGGAGCTAATGAGTGCTGGGGCTCCCAAACCATGTGAGTTCAGGTCACTCTTCCAGCTCCCTGGGGTTTATATTTCCTCCTCTGTGAAGGGAGGGCGATGCTGGTACCTCCTGAGGGCTGCCAAGGGTTTGTTTTCAATTAGGAGCAGTTGGAGAGCTGCAGAAAGGACAAAGCTGGCAAAAATTGGGGGCTGGAACTAGATGATCCTTAAGGTCCCTGCCAACCAAACCATTCTGTGAGCCTGTGAATCTGCAGTGAGTGGGAGAGGGAGCTTCCCTGCTTTGGGATTTACTTGTTTGGAGTCATAACAGGGAAGGGGTGACACATTTCCAGCAGTAGCTGCTGGAGCAGTGTTGGCACGTGCTCTGGGGACAGGGAGCTGGGCAAGCTCTCATTCAGCCTCTGTGGCCAAATCCTGAGAGTTATTGAGCAGTTACAGGGATTTCTGACCACTGCACACCTCTGAGGACTCGCTGGGTGATGCTGTGGGCAGCTGGGTGCACATGATTAGCAGATCCCATGAAGAGAGGTGGTATAAAAACAGAGCTGTGATGCCCTCACTGGAATCACTGGCTTAATTTACCAGCTCTTGGTGTCCTGCAAAGGCAGTTTCCATTCTGCAGATACACCTGGGACTCAGTTCTGGGCTCAGAGCTCAAAAGAAGGTGCTTTAACATCCTTTGGTTTTGACTTTTTCCCTTTAAAGTGGGGGATGGCAGAACCTGATTTTCAGTTCATGGAGCCGAGTGAAGGGTCCTCTGAGAGCTTTATCCAGCAAGAGCAATCCCAGCCATGGGAATCTTCTCATTAATTCACCTGGCTGGGAAGAATCCAGGCATGGCATTTCTCAGTGAGCAGGGAAAGCTGTTGGGTAAAAGCTCTTCCAGGAGGTTTCTGTCCCTGCTGACACCCTGGTGTCCCTCTCTGGCCTCCCTGTGTCCCTCATCCCTGTTTCCCTTGTCCCTTCCAGCTCACCACTGTAAGCAGCCGGAGACACCTTCCCATGCCAACGTGGGAGCTCTGGATTTGCCATCCCTGGGCTACACCTTGATCTACTCCTGCCAGAGCGGGTTCTACCTCACCGGGGGCTCCGAGCACAGGACCTGCAAAGCCGATGGCAGCTGGACAGGAAAACCCCCCATCTGCCTGGGTAAAGCCCTGGGCAGGGGGTGCCAATGGGTCTGGGGGTGCCCAGGGGACACTGCAGCCCTCAGACCCCCACCAGAGCCTTGTTTATCTCCTGGTTGTGGAGCCCACAGGCCTTTGATATCCCACAAAGGCAGTTTTCGGTCTGTGGATAAGACCTGGGGACTCATTCTGGGGTCAGGGTTCAGAGGTGTCCAGAGCATCATTTGGGTTTGGCATTTTTTTGCCCTCAAAAGGGGAGGAAAATCAGAGCCTGGTTTTCAGTTGGTGGGAGCTGGAGCCAAGGGAAGGATCTCTCCAGCCAGAGGATCCCCTGGAGCCACCTGAGGGGCTTCTCACGGCTGGTTTGGGTCTGGAAGCACCTTCTTTGTCCTTCACCTCACCCAGCTTTTACCTGCCACAGAGGAACAGTCATGGTCTAACCTTGACACGGAGCTGTTTGGCTCTCATGGAGGGGGGGAGCTCACCCTGGATCTTCCCTCTCTTCCAGCCGACGTCCGTCCCAGCGGGAGGCCCGTGGGCACCGCGCGGGACCCGCCGCTCGCCAAGCTCTCAGGTACACAGAGGGATCATTCCCATGGGACACACAGCAGTGACCTTGGCACACCCATCCCTGCCCAGCCCTTCTCAAACCCAGGTCCTTGCTGGGAGCAGCCCATGTGCTCCACCCTGTCCGTGCTTCCCCGGAGAAGTTGTGCATCAACACCCACTGCCCCTCCCTGGGGCATTCCAGAGATTCCAGGGTTGGACACTCAACCCTTTTTTTTTTTCTTTTTTTAATAGGTTTTGTTAGCTTTTCCTAATAAATTATTTTGGGGGTGGGATTCTTTTTAAAGCTTTCACGCTGTTTTTTTGTCAGAACAACCAAATTAAGGTCACGGGGTCGTTCGTTCTCCTCTCCTTGGCTTTGTCCTCACCGGTGATGGCCCAGGGAGAGGGTGGGATTTGAGATATCTAATTATGTGCCTGTGAATTGAAAGAAAGAAGGAACTTCTTCTCTATTTGGATTCCTGAAAAAAAACCTGGAAATCCACGGCAGTGCTGCTGTTTTGGTGCATCCCCAGCCGCTGTGTTTTCCAGTGCCTGCGGACGTGTTCGCAAGGAATTCCCTGTGGAAAGGCTCCTACGAGTACCTGGGCAAGAAGCAGCCTGCCATGCTGTCTGTCACCAGCTTCGACCCTGCCACCAGTAAAGTCAATGCCACCCTGATAGACCACAGTGGTGTGGAGCTCCAGGTGTCTGGTGAGGACACGAGGTGGCCTCTCGTGGGGACTGACGCTTGTCCCGGGGTTGGTTGGTCCCCCCCTGAAGTGACGAGGGGGGTTTCTCTGCCCTCTCAGGCAGAAAGTCAGTGATTTCCACTTCTTTTGCAGGCATTTACAAGAAGGAAGATGTGCACCTGCTGCTCCAGGTTTACCAGATCATGGGGCCGGTGGAGATCTTTGTCAACAAGTTCAAGAACGATAAATGGGCTCTGGACGGACACGTAAGTGCGGGGGCACCTCGGGCACGAGATCCACCCACACAGTTCCTCCTGGTGCTGTCACAGCCTGGCTTTCCTCTCCCTGGAGCTGAGGGATAACTCCCTGAGCTGGTGGCAGCATGAGGCTGCTCCAGTGACCAGTCCTTGAGGGGGCCACGGGGCGCTTTTCCAGCCCGGGATGTAACACGGCGTGACAGCTCCTCGTGCTCCCTCCAGCTCTGTGTGGCTTTATTGCCCCGTGGCTTGAAATCTCTGCGTCTCCCAGACAGCACTTGAGGAGAAGACAACATGATTAATTCCATTTTAACGTTTTATGTCTGCTAAACATCAAGCCAAAAGAGCTAATGGAGCCAAGTCCTCACCCCCCTGTGAGCTTCCCGTGCCCTTCAGAGATCCACTGGAGCTTGGCAGAAATGTGCATCTGCTTGACCCGTGGCCAGTGGTGGCCCAGAGCCTTTGTCCCCCCTCTGGGATCAGCAGTGTCTCGTGGAGTTTATTGCAAACAGGATTTTTTTGTTGTTGTTTTCCCTCCTTCGAGCCGTGAGGGCCTCGAGCTGTCGGGCACTGAGAGGCCTCCCGGAGCACCGCGGTTTTCCGGGGAATTAAATCAAATTAACTCCATGCCTGAGCTTGCAAAGGGCTGTGCTGTGAGATGGGTGTGAAAGCCCGGGGAAGTGCTGGGCAGACGTGCTGATCTCCCCTCTCCTGTCACCTCAGGTCTCATCGGAGTCTTCGAGTGGCACCTTCGTGTACCAGGGCTTCGTGAGGGGCAAAGGCTTCGGGCAGTTTGGCCTCCAGAGACTTGGTAAAATTCCTTGGATTGATGTTTTTTCCCCTGGATTCTGAAAGCTCTGCCCTGGTGGTGGTGGAGGGTTTCAAACAGGGGGTGTTTCTCCTGTCCCTGGCCTTAATTTTCAGCCCTTCTGCTAAACCCACCCTGGGCAGGAGACTGGGGGAGGCAAAACAGCACAACAACGAAATTTGTAATGTAAAGCCTGTAAACAGGCTGCTGTTCAAAGACAGAAAGAGGTTTTGGAGCCACAAAAAGCACCTGGACAAAAAAAAACACACAAAAAACCATGGTTTTTCTCTACGTTGCCAAATTCTGACAGGCCCAAGCCCCGTTTCTGCCACAGAAAGTGTCTCTGTCGCCCTTTCAGAAATCCCAGAGGCTCCTGAGGGCTTAGAAGAGACAAAGTTTAAGCTCCTAAATATCTCTTAAAATGTGGTTTGAGCTTTTAATCTCTTTCTTGGGATTTTTGGGGATATTCTCACCTTTATGGAGAATTAGGTTGCCTGTTATTGCATTTCAAAGTCTCCCCTTAAAACCCAGCTTTATGCATCCAAGTTGGAACATTTTGGCAAGATAAATCTATTTACATCTCCCTTTAATTGCAGTCCTAAATAAATGATGCTGTCTAAGCTGGCCTGGATCTCCAGGCCATCCTTCATCTGCAGCTCAGCAGCTTTCCGTTGCCTTTTCCAGCACCACTTCCAGTTGCTGGTGACACCTGGAAGCCCCAGCAAAGCCCATTTTCTTGCAGTGCTGGTTTGAAATGTGTTCTTTTCTGCTGTGTTTCAGACCTCAGCATGATGGAAACGGATCCTGAATCCATAGGACACCACTTTGCATCCAACAGCAGCTCCGTGGCAGCCGCCATCCTCGTGCCTTTCATCGCCCTGATTATTGCAGGGTTTGTGCTTTATCTCTACAAACACAGGTGGGTTTTGGGGGGAGGATGCCAAGGGGGGGAAATAAATTCAGGGGGGCTCTCAGAAACGTTGAGCTGGACTTAAAATCCCACCCCCTTAGAGCTGGTTTCTCTTTTAATTCAGAAGGTGAAAAGGAAACGAAGCAAAGCCCCGTGGGGGGGTGTGAGGGTTTGGGAGGAGAGAGCAGTGAGAGGTTTTCTGACCATTAATAAGATTTGTGGCCACTTTAAGGAGGATGAAGCGAAGTAAATTCCACGCTCCAGCGTTCAAGCTGGCCTTGCATGTGTTGTAAATTAGTATTTTCTCCTGATCAGGGTGTTGCTGTGGGAGCTCTGCAGAGGGAGGGTGCCCAGGGTTGTAGCAGCACCCAGGAGCTGCTGTGCTGCAAATCCACAGTCAGATTTGTCTGCCTCATCCCCAGGGGTTTAGTTTACCTTCCTCAAAAGCAGCTCTGTCTTTCTTTTTCTTTCTCCTCTTTCTTTTTCTTTCTTTTTCTTTCTTTTTCTTTCTTTTTCTTTCTTTTTCTTTCT